ATTGCCGAAAAAGCTCGGTACCATCATTCCTCGGATGTGAAGAAACGCGACGCTTTTATACAGAGAACTTTTACACACAGAAGCGACTTTTACACACAGCAGCTTTTACACACAGACGCTTTTTTACACACAGACGACTTTTACACACAGACTCCTTTACACACAGACGCTTTTACACACAGACACTTTTACACACAGATTCCTTTACACACAGAAGCTTTTACACACAGACACTTTTACACACAGACACTTTTACACACAGACTCCTTTACACACAGACGCTTTTACACACAGACACTTTTACACGCAGACCATTTTACACACAGACACTTTTACACACAGAAGCTTTTACACACAGAAGCTTTTACACACAGAAGCTTTTACACACAGAGGCTTTTACACACAGACTCCTTTACACACAGACCGTTTTACACACAGACTCCTTTACACACAGAAGCTTTTACACACAGAAGCTTTTACACACAGACGCTTTTGCGCACAGACGCTTTTACACACAGATGCTTTTACACACAGACTCCTTTACACACAGACGCTTTTACACACAGACACTTTTACACACAGACTCCTCTACACACAGACGCTTTTACACACAGACACTTTTACACACAGACACTTTTACACACAGACTCCTTTACACACAGACGCTTTTACACACAGACACTTTTACACACAGACCATTTTACACACAAACACTTTTACACACAGAAGCTTTAAAATGCAAGGTTTTCCAAATAATTAGATGCCTTATTAAACCCTTATTAAAAAACAGCATCCAAACAATTTTTCAAGGGGGTACCTCATGAGTGGCTCAGTTACTCAATAATATGAATGTTTGGATGGTACTCTATTGTGCCCAACAACTTTTGGGGTTGAAAAAAAAACCTTGCAAGCAAATTGAAAGTAAATTGAAATCAATTGAAAGTAAATTGAAATCAATTAAAATTAAATTGAAATCAATTGAACTCAATTGAAAGTAAATTGAAATCAATTAAAAGTAAAAGTAAACTGAAAATCAATTGAAACTAAATTGGTTTCAATTGAACGTAAATTGAAATCAATTGAAAGTAAATTGAAATCAATTGAAAATAAATTGAAATCAGATGAAAGTAAATTGAAAGTCAATTGAAAGTAAATTGAAAGTAAAATGAAAGTAAATTGAAATCAATTAAAAGTAAATACCCGCAAAAAAAGTTGAGGGGGGGGGCGGAAAAAAACTGCTAATTATTCAGTAGACAAAAGTAGTTTGAGGGGGGGGCGGGGCCTCCTCACACTAACCAGACGCCAACATTAAATGGAATATGTTCCAGCAAACCATGTTTGATGACACCGGAGGCTAATTCCATCTGACTAGCGAGTCTGGGTTTTGTTTGGCAACTTAGCTATCCTTTGGGGCCGCAGGTACGATTCAAATCTTTAGTTGCCATCCATTTCAATTATTCAAAGATTTCCGAATCCCATGGATACATCGATCCCATCGACGTGCCGAAGGATGCCGAAGGCAAAAGGCTCCAGTCGGCAATTTCCAGAGGGAGATGAGGAAAACCCAATGGGAGACTGAGGATTTCCCCTGAATTTTCAGATACCCTCCGGTGTCATCAAACGTGGCTGGGAAATTCACTATAAATTGAGGTTTTTTCTGGGAAATTCATCCACAAATGCTGGAGCTGCCATTGGAACGTTTAAATAGCGGGTGCATTAATTTTCATGTGGTAAGCCCAACTGCAGCACATCTGGTCGTCTTAACCAACCATTGTTGGGGTGAGTTTGAGCCATTTCCATTGGTAGCAAAACTTAGGGCTGAACAAGCTATTAAACAAGTTAACAATTGGACTGTTACCCTGATTGTTTGGTACATGGGTACTTCCCGGGTTAAGGTATAATATGGTATAATCACTAAAATATTGGCAAGTATGTTTCGGTGTGTTCAATTCTAAATCAGGACTGCAAGCATGCTAGCCTACTAGCCCATTTGGCAAAGCACCTGGCCTGATCAAACCATCAGGCTGACGTTTCCACTCACCAAAAAACACCAAATTCGGATTGAGCAAGAATAAGCATGAAAAACAGTAGCGAAATAAATTTGAACAATGTTAAAACAAAAAACTCTGTCATTCCATGAAATACTGCTTCGTTGATAGGGTTCTCATGATGGCTTGGGGTAACCCCCAAGTCATTTTGGGTGGTGCACGCCCCCTAGCCAATCATCAATCAACCATCATTTATCACTTATATCCAGTATTATCGTATCCCAATATGTTCATGATCAAAACAATAATGACTATATAATCATGAATTTTCGGGGTCTGGAGCACTGCTCAAATGGTTAGTGGTAATCAAACATAGCAATTGAACATAATGGATATAAATGGATTTCATGGAAACTGGGTTCTAGCAATCCACTATTATTGACACCGGTCATGTATATCGCCCCCTGTAAGCACCCTTCCGCCTCAACGGTCGAACTCTGCTCCCAGTGCAGCAACTGCCGCGCATGGAAGACGTTCTTTGGTGCGGTCGAGCGATGGTCGTCGGCCACAGTAGTTACCTTCGTGGGAGATATGATAGGTGCCATGATTGCGAAATCGCTACATGGGATTTATATTATATATGGATTTCTGGGACATATTCGCCCGGAATAATAATAATAAAATAATAATAATAAAGGGAATATATATATATGTAAATATATATATATATATATAAATAAATCAATATATATATATGAGCGCTCATATATATATAGTGTATATATATATATATATATGTATAATATATATAATATAATATTATATTATATATTATATTAAGATATTATATTATATGGGAATTATATAGGTATACGGTTATCATGTGTATATGTATATATATATACACGAAAAACCGTGCCTACGCAAGGGGATGTGACAGTGAATAATCTGAAAATGTCTGAAACATGACACAATACTCTTGAGGGAGATATGATGAGATATGCATATTTTCTGATTCCTGTAAACCTTGAATCAAGACATGAAGCTTGGGGCGAGTAAATCCAAACATGGTGGCAAAAACATATGTCACTGTGTGGGCATTGATGAGCACAATGCTGGGATATCAAAGATCTGGCAAGTTTCTAAAAGAGACAGTGCAGGGAACTGATAGCTGATTCAGACCTCATGAAAAATAGGCCAATGCCACCAAGTTTCAATGTAAGGCACCAGAAAACAACATGCCAGAGAAACAAAAGGCATGGCAGCGAAGATCTCAGTGCTCTATGAGCCGCGTGTGACATATTCACCTGTAGTGTAGTGAGTGCAAATTTCATGGCCAATCGTAGAGGCTCCTGTGTTCCTTAGTGATACATCTTGATCCCTAATGCTGGTCCAAGTCTCCTCCTAGGGCTGGTTTCTTCACACAGGTCCCAACTCTTTTAAGCCAAGTTCGAAGTAGGAAGACTTCACTGCCACTCCATCTATGTGTGTATATAATATATAAGTTGTATAGATATACGTATATATATATATATGTACTGTATATACTACCTGAAAACTTGCTTTTAGCACAAACTCTGCTTGATGCGAAACGCTGGTAACCATCCGACTCTCCATCCATCACAAGTTCATCAGCTGTCGCCGCTATGAAATGAGGGATTCACAAAGGACATACAAAATGTACTGTAGAAGATTTAAATGTGGCAGTCACGCAATGCCATAAATCATCCCCAAGTCATCACCATTTTGTTATCCGTGGGATGTTTACATTTTTTTGTAAACCATCCAAAAAAATGGTGGTTTTATGACATTGGTTTACCACAGAAAACGGATGATGAGACACAAGCCATTTTTTGTGGCACCATTGAGAAATCCAATCCCAGGCATTCCATAGGGGAATGTGTGGGTGGCACAATAGGGGAATCATGAGTCCGACTATCATAGAACGATCATAGCCCAAGAGTGGATGGCATTTGAAGGAAAACTAACATTCATCTTTGCTTCATACTGACGAACAACTGACAATGAATGTGACTCTTTCCGCTGCAAATGGAAACCATGTGTATTTGGCTCGTGGTTCCAAGCCATCCTCAAAGTGTGAGTCAATTGTGATTGTCCCAAAGCATGGAACATATATAGCTTTGTCTGAAAACAAAGGTACTTCTGAATCCTCTCGTTAACCATCATTTTCCCATAAACAATAAGTGACTATTTCATGGGTATTAAGCCATTTTGAGACACACACCATATAGTATTGCAGTGCATTATAACTATAGTAAAAACCACAATCATTGCAGCCTGGGATCGTCAGGCAGCGCCCAGGCTGAGAACGTGTTTTTCTCACGCGTGAGCTGGCAAATTCAACAGGCTTCCTATTCTACAGATGGAGCTGCTCGCAGCTCCCGGATTTCGACCTCTCCACTTTGCAATCTGAACATTTCTTAACCACATGACCACAATTTCTCAGGGGAACCAACCCCCGCTCCATCCGAAACCGCAGCGGGATTGGGGTTTTTCAGCTGCCAGGACGTGACATCCACAGAGCTTCGCTTCGCTTGTCGTTTTTTGGGTATGGCTTTTGGTGGAAACCCAAAAAAACACCAAATTGCATGGGCTTTCATGATTTTTCAAACTAATGATCAAACTAATTACAAGATATGGCATGATATGGCATGATATGACCATATATGACCTAATTATGGCCGATATGGCATGATATGGACCATATATGACCTATGTTCAAGATACACTCTTGACACAATCATGACTATCACCATCATGTCACCCATCCATACCTGCGACATCCAATGTATGTAAAATTCATGCTGTTTCAACTTTTATTGCTGGCGGCGATCTTTTCTGCTTGCGAGCGATTCTTGGTTTTTCATGATTTTTCATGAAACTTGTCCTCTTGGGCAATGGAATCACTTTGGTTGATTGCTTGATAGAGCCTAACATCAATCTAAAACAATAAAACATAAGGAATCAAATCAAAATGGGATTGGATATGATTAGAAATGTCATGTTAGCCAAATCCCTGCCCTCCACAGCTCTCAAGCGCTCGCCAACTTTCTGGCGGTCTTTCAATAACCTTGGCGCCACTGGCATGTTTTCAGCTCAGGCTTTGGTAAACCAGGGTGGGGACAAGTTGCATCTATGATCAAGGGTGACCCCAAAGGCTTTTTGGCTTGAAGATTGGGCATTCAGCCTGTGATTCTTAGTGAGTCATGGCATTATCGGTGTTGCATCCTAGGGTCCTACCTGCGGATGTGAGTCTAGCCCAACTTTGGGAGTTGGACAACCTTGTCCGCCAACGGGTTAGGGAGAACAAAAAACTTCTCAAGTGGAAAAGCCCTCAGCTCACTGGGGTTGCATCGGCTGAAGCGGCAGCACTCAACTCTGCCGTCTTGTTGAATGTTGCTAGTTGGTGGGTGCCCCGGCAAGAGATGCCATGCAGTATGCCCATTGAGGTCGTCAGAAAGCAGGTCATGGGTTGAGAATCCTGATGTTCCCCTTAATGATTGTTAATGGTTTGAACCTGTTTGGAATAGTCCATGGGATAATCAGAATCAGATGGAAGATCCAAGTATATATCTATCACTATTCACAAGTCTACTTGGTCCCATGGGGGTGACAATGTCCCTTGGTCTTCCCTTGAAGGTTATGGATTTCTACAAACTCGTGGAGTTGAGTGACAATCCGGCTGCTATCTATCAAGACGCCTGGGGTGTCAAGCGTCTTTTTTCACATGCCCTACGACGTTGGCTGAGTGGTGCATCTTCTCCTCGTGACCCTTGGTTCCCTTTAATAAACTTTTGGTGCTCACCTAGGGTAGCAACTTAAGACAAATTAAGGCAACCAAATCGATGATTAGTAACAGTACTATTGTTGGATGCATTCTTCGGTGAGGACCGGGCCATGCAGCCTTTCTGGAACATCTTGGACCATCAATGGGGACAAGGGGAAACCAACGAAGACCCCTACGGTGCGGCTGTGGCAGATGATGATGATGATGGCGAGGAATCTTCACCGGGCAGCCCCCACCCAGTGCCAAGCGGTGCTTCGGGGCCCGAGCCTGTTGCTTCACCTGAAGTTGACCATGGTGATGATACCTTGGTGGAGAATCCAGAGCCAGAGACTTCTGAACATGTTGGGAGTACCCTCAATGATGATTCCCAATCAGTTGTCTCAATTGCAGATGAGGAGACACCTTCTGACACCTCTCTCCCGCCCATCCCAGACTCACAGCCCCGGGATACAGAGGAATGGAAAGCCCTAGATGAGATCACTGCCCTTCATGACCAAGCTGCTTCTGGGCATCATCAACCACCAGTTGCTGAACCACTAGCTGCTGCAGCCTGCGCAGTGTGTGGCAAGCTGGGTGAGCATGAGTGCCTTGACACTGATGTTGGCCCTGACCCCGAAAAGCTACAAGCGGACATGAATGCCATGCGCGCTGATCTTGTTCAGCGAATCAGGAATGCAAGGTGGGGTGATTCCAAACAAAGGGTTCTATCCTCCTATCAGTGGGTACTAAATTTCATGATATACTGTAATATTTCAAGGGCGAACCAATCCAAAGTAATCCAACATTTTTGCTATGTGTGACCCTGCAGGAAACGGGCCGTGGAATTGAAGAGACAAAAGTCCCAAGTCGGAATTGGACACTCAACTCTGTTCAGTATCTTTGTTTTTTTATTCCCACCAAGACCACCAAGACTTTTGGGTGATTTGATGACTTGATCCTTATCCATTCACTGCTTGCACTCCAAACTTAGGCATGGACAACCTGCAGACTTTGCCCATGGATGATGTTGACCTGGCATGCGCTCGCGTCACAGAAGCTGCAGCTTCTTTGGAGGGGTCTCCCATTGCTATCACTGAACCGTCTGAGGACTTTGATTGACAAAAAAGGTTCTACTAGATTTGGTTCATTTAATACATGACCATTTGGTGACAATATCGGTGGAAACAAACAATAGTGTGCAAACGCTACTACCCAAATAAAACTTGAAAGGAGACCGACAAAGATTGCTCTGGTGATCTTGGGGCCGAGACCGACACAGAGCCCGAGGAGGTGAATGCAAAATTGGCAAAGGGTGCTTCCAAGAATGCTGCCAACAACGAAGTGCTGCAACTTTTGAGCTTGCAAGAGAAGGCAGTTCTAGGGTTAAAAAAGTGTCAACATTTTCCAAAACCATCCAAACACCCCCAAATGTTTCCACTGAAAGACTTCTGCAGGCACCATTGCTGATGCGACGTGAGCAACTTCAAGCTGACTTCCGGGGCAAGGATGCAGTTGAGGAGGAGGAAGTTGACATGGAGGATGGACCGCAAGATGGAGATCACCAGTCTGAGGCTGGAGAAGATCACCCAGAACCCAAGCCAAAGACGAAGAAGACTCCCGGAGCGAAAGCCGCTGCAAAGTCCAAAGCCAAGGCGAAAGCCAAGGCGAAAGCCAAACCCGCTGCCAAAGCAAAGGGCAAAGCGGCTTCCAAGAAACCCAAGGTGAAGGGAGCTGACAAGGACCAGAAAGACGCAAAGCAGGACAAGATCAAGGGCAAGGACGACCAGACCAAGGAGAAGAAGAAGCAAAAGATGCCGGATGAGGATGTGGACCACAACATTGTGCCCAAGTCCAAGCGCCCCAAAGCCGGCGAGCCTGTTGCCACATTCGCTCGTCGATACATGCCTGCGCATGAAGATGGCAAGGCTCGCTACACGGCAATCAAAGATGTTTTCTTGGAGAACATTGCCAACGAGTTGAAGTGTCAGAGCACTTTCCAGGACCAACTCAACTAAGTTTAGGGTCGGGTATGATTGGGGTAATTTTTTTTTAACAAACTTCCGAAATCAAAAAGGGTAAAATGGTTAACTTAGTTAACTTGGATTGAGATCGATGAAGATCGATGAACCTTTGTTTTCAAAGTCTTTATTTCGTACTCAATGCATCCCAAAGCTTTTGGCAGGACCCATTTTGGGGACTATGCACAAAGGCCTTCAAGACCTCAGACGCGTCTTCCTATCCCGAGTATGTGACGATTGCCAAGGACTTGGTGGACAAGTTCCTCAATTTGCCCAATGTGAGTGCATTGGCTTATTTCCCAGTCTTTGTTTTACAACAAGGATTCAACATTGAGATTTTTGTGAAAGGTGGTAAGCCATTGATTTGACATATGGTATTGTTTTATGTAAAAATCATCAAAAGCCAGCTGCACCGCACCCCATTGATTTTGTGTTGGAATATTTGGGGCACCCATCAATCCTTTCAAATACTTTACTACATTTGGGGTCAAATAATCTATGGATTCCTCCAGCCACCATCCCAGGCAAAGCCAGGAAAGCCTCGTGAAAAGCCCTGCTTTAAGCCCATGGAGTCTGGACAGGGAAAGCGTGGGCAGTATGCTTTATCATACTTGGGTTGCCACGCTCCAATCCCAGTTCGGTTTAGCCATGATGGCCTTGGCATTTTGGGGGCTTGCACTAGTTGAAAGCTTGGCACTTCTGATGCACTTCCAGAACCCTTATTTTGGAATGACCCAGCAATACAATATAAAAATCAAAATTGGTTTATTTCTGTATATTGTTGATTGCTTACTTGGAAGCTGCCATGTTTTGATCCAGCCCATTCGGCCTCGATCGGCCATGACTTTCGTAGCGGGACAGCATAGAGACAACAGCTGTTCTCAATCCTCAGATTCGCAGCGCAGGGGGGCAGAGCAGAGCAAAGAGGGGTGAAGCCTATGGTTGACCACCCCCACAATCCAAATACATAATTATGGACAACCTTGCTTTATGGTTTATGTTTGTTCTAATTTTTTGCCGGAATCATTGGGAACTTGCATGGAACCACAAACCAGGGCTAGGTTCTCCAAAAACACCATCATTTCTTTCCCTTCATGCCAGGTGCCCCGATGGACAACAGTGCTATGGCTTCTTGTGAGGAGCGGGCTTGTAATGTTCACCAATTACCCGATGTTGATTGGGCAGTCCGTGCATTTGAAAAGATAGAAATCAAAGATTTATACTGTATGCATCTTTACGCCCTAAGATTTGTCAAATGAACATGTATTGAAAATAGACACCCATTAGCTCCTTTCCCAACTATGAGCTTCTTGTTCCAGGACCAATGGCCAAACTTCGCCGTGGCCAACTTTCTTTGGCAAGGTATGGCTGTTTACACGGCAACCCTGGCATTTTTAAACAAGTTGCTGGACAAAAGGTTCAAACATCTCTCAAACTTTCCTGTTGTGGCATTTAAGGATGTAAAAAAATTAGCCATGCTGCATGGAATATGGAACATGGAACATGGAGTGTCTTCACTGCAAGTTTTGCAATTTTGAGGGTTCGGCTCACAGTGGCATCATGTCCATCACGTGGGAAAAAGTAGATCTGGCCTGCCGGCGGCTGTTGGTCCTACATGTTCCAACAGCTACTTGGTGTGAATTTTGCATGTACTAAATTGGGGAATCACGTCCAAATCATAAATCTTAAAAGACCACGCGACCTCTGAGGATTTCATCTACTTGGTCCTTATGGCATGGTGGATCAAGGAAATGGGATATGGGTGGGATCTTGGAGACGGCTTGGACCTGATTGAATTCTACTCGGGGGTCGGCCGTATTGCCAAGAGTGCTTTCCATATGGGGCTGCAATCCCGTTCTTTTGATATTGACCACGACAAACCTCCACTGGGTGAGTCTGTGCATTCCAATATGCCAAAGCGGTCTAGTTTTGACTTGAATGGTGAAGCAGGTTTCCTGCTGCTAGGCTTCAACAATCTACGCGCTTTTGTTAGGACAACTTGATTTTTAAATTGTGGGGATGCAAATCCAATGCTTTTACATTCAACCACTACAACCTGCTAAGGTTAGCTATCATGATGATACTTCATGGGAAATGGGCTGACTTGATATCTACTCTGGCTGTGGTGTGCAGCAGCTGGTCAGTTGTTAATCTGGCCACAAGCCAGCGCAATCTCCTCTTGCCCTATGGCAACGCCCGGAGCACAAGCGTGATCCGTGCCAATCGCATGGTAGCCAGGACTCATGTAGTGAATTGAGGGATTTACACCTACACCCTGCATTGTAAGTGAACACATTTTTTTCAATTTCACTTTGTGTGGTTGTATGATCTGTCAGAATCCAGCCTTGAAAGATTATGGGGTATCATTGTTGGGATGTTCTTGGAAAACCATCCAAACCCTGCAGAACGGCACTTCTAATTCTGCTAATCTTTGTTTTGGAGGGATGGTGGATTTTGGAAAACCCGGGATGCAGTGTCATTTGTCTACACCCTCGCCTCCGCTGGTGCTTCGATGCGATGAGACGTGCTGGAGCAAAGGTGCTCTGACCTAGACATGGAAAGTGTTGGGGGATGGGCTTCATAATATATATATATATATTAACCCTTGGGATGGCTTATAATAATTTGCTTGGTCTTTAGTCTTTAGCAAACTGGATCCAACATTCTCAACCCTAAGAATCGCCACTTCCATTGTGAGGTTTACCGACTGATCTTCAACATGGAGGAGTTTGGGTCAGAGACCTTGAAACCAACTATGCTCTTGTCCAACAGTAAAGCTTTGGCTAGGCTGAATTCCAAGCGTAAGCGTGGCCAAGTGAAGCGGGCTACCGGCAAAAGACTATGCCGCAAGTATTTGAACAAGAAGGGAAAACGTGCATTTGCTGGTACAAGAGCATTGAAACTATCCCAGAACCTCATAGAAAAGACCCTATTGGAGTCAAAGTCTATTAGATGTTAGATCGATATTCAATACAAGAACTTTCACAAACGATCTTACAATTTTGACTCCTTCAGGTAGTCACTACTTTTACTATGTTTCGATTCCCAGAACTTGATAGATCTCGGGTGTGGATAAGGAGTTTGGCTGCAATATTATTCGGCCTTCAAATTGAAACTAAGGAAGTATCCGCCAAAATTTGCGAAGTCGATCGTGAACCTGGTTCCTGCAATTCGTTCAATCAAGTCCCCTTTCACTTTGCCAGAATCTAGCCATGAACAATGATGGTCATTATGTTTTGAAAACTCTTTTGGTTGGCGGTTGCAATACCTAACCAGCAAACACACATGTCCAACAGCCCAGGTATCCACTGAGAAGCCTTTGCAAGAGGAGCTGGCAAGCTCAGGCTGGTCATCCTGGGATGAGTCGGCGTTAGGCCCTTGCTTACGCTATGTATGGGGATCTAGCTTGAAAGCAGTTCCACAAGAGTGGAAAGCTTATGACAATGAGGCAAAGCTGAATTTCCCGCTAGGTGAGTACAGAGGGTTCACCTATCTCTGAGCAAGCGTTGTCAAACACATTCAAACACTTAGAATGTTTTTTAAATCAATTTTTGCAACTTTTGCATTTTTTCACATTTTTTGCAAAATTTGAAACGGCGAAAACACCCGACGAAACGGCGAAAACACCCGACGAAACGGCGAAAAAAAAAAATGAGTTTTTTTTGACCATCTGGTCTTGCTTGAGATGGGTTTTTAGGCCCTGTTCAATTTGAACAAATTAATGATGCACTTTGTGAGGGTCTGCCCACACAGCCAGTCCTCTGATCGGATGTGATCTTCGAAGAAGAAAGTCCTGTCGCCACATGTGTTGTGAGAGACTGTCAACTTGCACATAACAAACTGCTGGGCCCTGGTTTGTGAAAACATCAATTTCTGATCTATGGTATTCCTTCTTTAGCAGTTTCAAGGATACACTGCTTTAGGTAGTTGCGATGCCCGAGCGTCTTAGAAGCAACATGTGGTCAGCGGAAACCCTACTCAGAGGGGTTAGGACCGTTGGACAACAACCGTCGGCTGAACTTCTTGCCAGCAATGACCCAGAGTTGCTCCAAGAACTGAAGGTCTTTGGGTGTCAAAACTTGTGGTGGGAAGCACCTCCAAGAATATTAGTGGTGTTGCCTTCTTTATCTTATTTGCTGGTGAATTCATTTCAAATTTGGGAGACTCGCCATTGACAAGGTTTGAATTTCCAAAGAAGAACCCGGCCCAACAAATTGTAACAAAAACATGGATTAAGTCTTGGTAATTATCCTATAGTGAAATCATGTTTAACTGTTTAACCATCTTTTTAAATTTTGGGTTATGTTAGCTATGTTGATCAGCAAGTGAAACTCAGCCCATAGCCCTTGACAGGACTTGAAAACAGAGATTCAGGATTTGGACGAATCGGTGTCCGCTGCCATTCTCCAGGAGATTGGCGTCAAAGATGTTGGCACCCCGTCCCAGGCAGAGACCCTTGCTGCCACTACAGAGGAGTTGGAGGCAGCAGCGGCTGGAACCCCAGTGGGTCCAGCACTTGGGTCCATGACGTCTTTTGAGACTTCCATATACCCCAAACCAAAGGCAACAACGCATTGACCTTGACCTTGAGTCTCCTGGAAGTGATGTGCTAGTGCGATATGAACCTGAAACGCCTGCTGTTCCTGAAGCCCCACAACACATCACACCTGATGTTGCTGGGACTCCTGTTTCCACAGAGTCTATGCAACCACCCGATCGTGATTCTGTGACTTCTGACCATGGGGGCCAAGCGAAAAAAATTGTGCCTAAGATAAATTATGCTTGTCTTATTTTAATGATTTTGGGGACACTTGGTACTGCTATTGACCATGAATAAGGCTGTTTATGTGCCAACTCACTGACTCAGGCAGCTGCATCTGAAAAGGATACTGTGCGTGGTGAGCCTCGGTCCTCTTCTCATCAGCCAGGTGGTGTAGTGGCCACACCTTGCCGGAGTGAGGCATCATGCCCACAAACACCCCATGAGCCAGCGCCACCACTGGATCATTTGGAAATTCCACTTGATGGTGATACGAAAGCCCCAATTCCAATTGCCGGGGAACTTCGCTTGTCAGAGAATGCAGTCAACTTACGTATGAGACGAGTGTTCCAGCCTAGCATCAAAACCGGTGAGTTCAGGGTGGCAGAAAACATTCGCAAGATGTACGCTGAGAAGAGAAGTAGACCAAAGCTTCTATCAATCTTCCAGAGTTGTGGCTTTGACCCGGACAGGGTTGGTGACCAAATTTATGTTTTATCTCATTCAATGATACATCCAGTAAAGTCAGTATCAGTATAGTGGATTATAGTGGTAGATCCTCAGCCGCCCCATACGCATCCTGCAGGAAAGCTTCGTTCAAGAGTGTGAGCTTTTCTCAGAAGAGCTATTATCAAACGAATTTGTGATTGAGGGGGAATACGTATCCGAGAAGACCATGTTGGAGGAGTGGCAATGGACACAGTCTTTTGGTTACATACGCTAATGTCCTTTTCTTTTCAAATATTAGGGCAATAAAACCAATACCGAAATTTTGTATCTTTTGCAAGAGAACTGCAAGTAATCAAATTTGGAAGTCATGAATCCAATATGATGAAAAAGTGTGGTTCCATCCAGTCTGTTCTCCAAGGCAAAGGGTGGATGCTGTGAAAAGAGCTGCGGAAAAGGAACCACACAGGCTCTGTAGGCCTTGTGGGGAGTGGTATTTACAGAAGTGTGTACCGGTCGATGATATAAAGGATTACAACATTCTAAACAACCATTTTTTGCTGGCATATAGCTAAATCAATCAAAGAATAGTGCACTTGATTTCCAACACAACAGAAAATCTTGGCTAAGGGATAAACAGTTCTGGCTCTGGAGCTATCCCCCTTGAAAAAAGATAGGGTCCTTCAACAGATTCAACAGGATGAATATTTTGAACAGACATGTTGCTATGACCCCCAGTCCCACCTCATTTGGGCGCAGGAAAGATCGCTACGAGAAGGGCTTGGTCCTGTATTGGGCAGAGACAGCAGTGAAAGCCAACCAGAGGCAACTCAGCGTATCAAAACATAAACGCTATTTATGAAGTAACTCTCTGGATGTAATTATTAGTGATCTGTTCTAATCTTGTGCTCAGAATTCAAATCAATGTTGGCAAACAACAAACCAACTATGAACAAGAGTGAAGGAACACCTCATGGCAGTGTATTCCTCTTTACTGTTGAATTGCCCAACTTAGGCATCTCAGCTCCAGAGGCCTGAAACGTAAGGTGATGTGGGATGAGCAAGGTTTTAACCCGGAATCTTTTGAGCGACCAACAGCGCTTGGTGGCCCGCCTCTCTCCAAAGCCAAGGGTGCCGATCCTGCAAGCGAGGAGGAGACCGTTCCAGTCAAGAAGCCCAGGGTGGAAGCTGATGCTCCCAAAAAAAGGGGTTCAGCCAATCACAAAGGCCGATACATGGTTTGGGGTCGAAGATATCTAGGTATGTCTAGATAATTAAAAGAAACTGTTCACTATAATTAATGCTATGCTGGTACCCCTGGAGGTGATGTTCAGGCATCACAAAGCGATGATGAAGACATGGAAGCCGACTTGGAGGACATTAGGGCTGACAAGGCTGCTGCCAGCGAAGCATTGGCCCGCAAGCGGGCTGGCATTCCGGAACTTGAACATGATGCCCTCCCCAGTACCATTGCCAACAAACTCATGAGACTTCCCTATAATTTGGGAACATGTCTATGTCCACAAAGTAATAGCACTTGGTTTATGAAAATCCATTTGTCAATACCTGAAGCAGCTTTAAACCAACAACTTCCTACTGAGGAACTGCTTATCGAAGCGACAGAAGAAATTGCAGGATGGCTTGGACAAGTTCAATGATGCAATCACCCTATCTACCCTGCAAACGCAGCATCTTGTCTGCACTACCACTGTTGGTCTAGATATTCTGGAACTCCCGGCGGCCTGCCAGGATGAAGGGGAAGCTCGAGCAGGTCATCAAAGATCTAGGCGACAGCGGCGAGGCCATCAACAACAAGTACTCGCATGGAGTGGTTCATGGATTTTCAGAAAAGCACAGTCCTGAGTTTGATATATTGATGAATAAGGTTGGCCTAATCCATCCCTCACTAGATCAAATTGAAACGCCCAAACTTATCTTGAAATCAAACGTGTGACCCAGGTCCGAAGAGGAACTGAAGGATGATTACTTGAAAGCAAAAAAACTGTGTGATTCCTAGTTGAGCCATGGTCCACTGTCGTTTCCCTTTTAGAAAAACAGTTCTGTAGCGATGTTCTTCACTCGCTTCCCTTTTAGCAAATCAGTTCTGTAGCGCTGTTCTTCACTTAGGGCAGTGGAGGCTATGAGCTTGGAATCCCGCATGAGGCAGGGTATGTTCAAACGACTGGTCCAAAAGTTTTCACACCACCACTTGAAATGATTTGACATTACCTGATGCCGGAGGCCTGTCCTTCCCAAACCTGGGAAAGCTGTGCCCAAGCGTGCTCCCGCCAGAGCCAGTGCTAAGAGCAAGGCAAAGGCCAAAGCTGACGCCAAGGGCAAAGCAGCCCCAAAGAGGAGAGCCTAGGTCTTTCTGCCCAGTGCCAAATGCATCCAAAGGCTGTTTCCAAACACTGTTTACTCTGGTTGAACTTGATCATGTTCTTACTACAATGTTTCCTTGTTCTGTTCATGTTCACTGTTATACAAGTTGTGCTTCAACTCAGCTGGAGAAAGATGGAGATGCAATGATGGTGGCAGCGGATTTCCAGACATGCAATGGGTTGCTTCAACAGCCTGTGACTAACACGGGCTGTGCGAGGCGTGTTAGCAGTTCGATCTGGTTGGGGTTCCGAAACATTTCGAAACGCTGTGAAAAAAAATGGTCTTGTCAACTTCTTGGTAGTCACTGGTCACCTGTACATAGAAAACATATTTCACAGCAAGCAATGACACCCATGGCTGGACACCATGGCTGAATCCAAGGGTCACACATCATCAGCTTTGGAACTTGCACATGCCAGGTCAGGCTGATGACCTACAAGTGTCACAAACTGGTGGCTATGTGACCGAAGCATATGCAGAAGCTATCGCTGATGGGGTTTGATACTCAATCTGTTAAACGGTTCATGCCATGAGAAATTGAGATCTCATCGCTTTCTGATGCTTTCTGAATTCACGACTTGTGACTTGTAGTGGTTCCCAAGTTAGCCCATTTGTTGGGAGAATTCCATGGCTCAGGTTCCAGCTGTGGTCGCCGACAGGATTCACCAGGGGGCCTTAGTCAATGCTGGCTGCCAACACAAGCAGACAACCAGCAACAACAATGTTGCCCGGAATGCTTATCGTAGCATGAAGCGGACTGGCATTGGCTGGCGAATTCCTATTGATTCAACTGATTACCAAAAAGAGGATAAAACGTTTCTACTTGTGCATTTTCTTCGTCCAACAAAGATTGTTGAATACTTTACAAACAGCTGCCCTACAGTCCTGTGTGGTGGGAAAGATGCTTTGGAAATGGAAACGCTGTGTGAATCATTTTGGAAAGCATACCAAGTACACCATCCAACGCATGAAGTGTTTGCTACGCACAATGGAAACTTACGACGAGTCATTCCTCTTGCTTTCCACGGAGATGAAGGCAAGGGAAAACGTCGATCATCTACCACGGCCACTTCACTAGAAGCTGTGATCGGATGCAAAGGTGGACCTTGTTGCAATACCTGTGAGCCATCTTTTTTGAATCTTCCCGACAATTCTGGTGATGCTGAACATGATGTTGCAAAACAAATGAACAGCAATATGAAAGGACATTCATATTTGCAACATTGGCCATTGTTTGTGATTCCAGGGACTCTGGCGAAAGACTACAAACCATTGACGAACCATCTTTTAGACATTATTGCTGCAGACCTGGTCAACCTCTTCAACAATGGTGTCAACAGCAATGGAACACAATGGTATGGTGCCATCATTGGAGCGAAGGGTGATCTGAAGTGGCAATCAAAAATAGGAAGGTTTACAAGAGGGTTCGAGCACAAAGGTCACAAACAAGACCTCCCGTGTTGCCACTGCTGCCTAGGTGGATCTCCAGGGATCCCTGCCGAGGACATCACCAGTGAGCACCCATGTTGGGAGCGAACTATGTGGGCTTCAAGGCCGTGGGCTATGAACAACCAACCATCTCTTTCTGTTGTGCCATATGACCGAACTCGACCTGAACAAATCTACCAACATGATCCTTTTCACACACTGAGACTTGGTATCTTCCGCGATTTTGTCGGAAGTGTTGTCTTCTTGTATCTTGTTTGGGGTTATTTTGGTGACGGGGCTGTACCTGTGAAGCTTGAGTCAGCTTACTCAAGTTTCAAGCTGTGGTGTCTGACTGTGCAGAAGAGTGCATCTCTGAGAAGCTTCTCCAAGGCTCTGTTTAACTACAAAACAAAGCGGTCATACCCTTGGATCAATGCAAAGGGTGCTGATGTCGTTCTCGCCATTAAGTGGATCAAGACCATCACTTGTGGATTTATTATTCAATGCACTGATCAAGAGGAAATGTCGGTGTTGAGCGTAATTTTGAATTGTGCGACAGTGGCCATTCAATTTGGCGACCACATGTATCATCACAAGTTGTGGCTGAACAGTTGTTGCGCAGCTTCGCTTTATGAAAATGGGCATGCTTTGCTGGTCGGATATACTTGGCTAGCCGGGTATGCTTTTAACGCTCAACTATGTCTGTTCTCCATCAAGCCCAAAGCGCATTTCTACAAACATATTTTACTTGTGCTTTTCGCCCAGCTTGAGAGTGGTGCCAAAGTGCATCTCAATCCTATCTGCTGGGATTGTTCGCAGAATGAAGATTTTATTGGTCGTATGTCGGCGTTGACTACCAAACTAGACTCTCGGGTGGCCACCAAAAGGGTCTTAGAATTTTGGATGGTCAAGGCATCAATTTTATTCAAAAGGCATTTCCCTAAGATGAAGCAATGATGGCGATGCTTCGGGGTTCAAGTAGCTGTGATTGCAGGAACATCTTATGGCAAGGCCATCTTGTACCCACTAATCTTACAACATCTTATAACATCTTGCACTTTATTTTGATCGTAGTTTCCACTTGGTTCTTCCTTGAAGCATTTCCTTCAATGCTGGTTCCAGCTTGAAGCCATGAAGTGGCGCGGCAGCTACCAAAAAGGAAGGGGAGGAAAAGTGAAACGGCAATCTTTTTGTGAAGCGGCGATCTTTAGATTCAACGGCAATAATTTCTTGAGTTTCAACTTGCGAGCGTTCTTTTTGCAGAGGAGGATTTTCCAGGTATATGTCATTGGACGTACTTCCCGAACCATCCTCTCCAAACCAAGTGATGTCCACCCGCGTGCCAGTTGCTCACCCACAGCATCCAGTTTTGTGTAGTTACCTGTACCTTTCAGTATATCTTATCAGTTGTTTTATAGCTCTGTGGGGGTATATGCAGGTGCAAACAAAAACAAAAAAAGGTACTAGTACACGGATCATAGGCGATCAAATGCGATCAATGTATCACAATGGTCAGCTACTCTCATGTCCTGCCAACATGTTGCGCCACGAGCCACATCTTGTGCTCAATGGCAACTCTTTAGGCCCAACTTGCCCTCAGTCATCCTCATAGCACGAAGAGGCTGTCTCACTGGCACACGGCCTCAGAGCGACACGAGTGACACGAGACAAACCGCCACAGGTGACCGATCGTGCGATGATCAGCACCAGCAGCAGTAGTGGCAATAGAAGGAGAAGATGCAGCAGCAGTAGAAATAGCAGTAGCCGTAACAGTAGTACTAATAAAAGTCATAATAATAAAAATAATAGTAATCTAATGGTAGTAGCAGCAGTAGCAGCTGCAGTAGTACTAGGAGTAGTAGGAGTAGGAGTAGGAATAGCAGCAGCAGCAGGAGAAGTAGTAGTAGTAGTAGTAGTAGTAGTAGAAGCAGCAGCAGTAGAAGTAGTAATAGAATCGGACTTTCATATTGGCATTTGTTGTGGCGTGACTGGGTTCGGGTATGGATCGGGTATGGAACGGGTATGGATCGGGGTATGGATCGGGACACGCTATCTGGGCCGGCTTTCACGCTATGGCTGTGGAGGAAGAGAGCGGGGTATTTCAAGTCTAGTCTAGTTCTACACGTGCCAGGCAAAGCAGAAACAGAAGGAGTTGTAATCATAGCGCCACTAGAAGTACAAGAAGCACCTAGTGGAACTAGAACCGGTCTTACTAGCCTCCAAGGTGCGCTTGCAATATTGGTAGTAGCTACTCAACTAGTTGCATTTGTCCAACTACCAGAAGCACACGGAGGAAGTGAACCAGCACCAGCAGCGAGAGCAGGACCAGCAGGAGCAGCAGCAGAAGCGACAGCAGTAGCAGCAGCTCCTGGGAGGAAGATGACTAGTAGTGGCAGCAGCAGCAGCAGCAGCACGGAGGCAGCGGAGGCAGCTGAAGCAGCAGTAGCAACAGTAGTAGCAACGGGAGTAGCAGTACGAGGACCAGAAGCAGTATTAGGATAAAAAGCAGCATTAGGGCCAGCATCAATCTTTCTTCAATGAGAAAGGGGTATGGATCAAGGGTATGGATCATGCAGTACCACAGGGTATGGATCAAGGTATGGATCGGGGGGTATGGATCGTGTGTGGGTTCGGGGCCTTGATCCATACCTTGTATTTTCACTCGTACCCAAATATGTGTGTGTGTGTGCATGTGTATGTGTATGTATATGTATATGTATATGTATATATGTATGTATGTCTATGTATATATGTATGTCTATGTATGCGTGTGTGGAATTGTCAGTCCTCATGGTCGTCGTCGGTCATCCTCATCTTCATGATTGTTCCAATCGTCCGTCCATTCATCCATCAACCCATCCATCCATCCATTCATTCATTCATTGCTTGGGACGCACCTTCAAAAAGGTCTCATCAGTGATGACTTTTTAACCTCAAGTCGGGCAGAAATGTTGCAAGACAAAAGGATTGCCGGGGTGATGCTGGGTCTCTGGGTTTTGTGCATTGTCTTTCCAACACATCAATGCCAACATTGATAAGTAAATATCTATCCAAGATAGATGATACAATGATGCGATGTCAACGCAAATCTTTCCAGTCCCTTCGGACTTCAATGCAAAGGTTTCTGAAGTGGACATCTGTGCAAACCTGTCCAAATCCTATATGCTACATTTTCGTGGGTTTCCCAATCTGGGTTTCAGGGATTTCTGATACGGGAAAACGGTGTTTCGGGGTTCGGGGATTGGAGTGCTGTTTTTCCCTTATTGGGGTGGGGTTTCCGAATCTCGGGATTAGAAGTGCCGAAGCTCCCCAGATATTGGACGTGTGTGTGTGGATGCAGGAAACAACGGGCCCTCCCTCAAATGGCAGCTTGTTTGGGTTCGCCTATTGTCCAGCGCATGGTAATTCAAGCAGGCGGACTCTTTTTTCCTTTGCGCACATGAGCGGTGAAACGTGTTTATGACGCTTTCTTTATTTTCAAGCCCATTTTTTTGCAAAGCTCTTCCACTACACATTTGGCCTGCTCTGACAACGAAGCACTGAATTGAACATCTGGCCCTTTCCAGCTGAAGCCATGAACGTCTAAGGACAATTCCTGCCAAACTGAGATGAGCAGGTCACTTGTCTGTTCTTTGGGGGCGCAGTACGCCGCAGCATCGCGAAGATGTTGCGTCCAAACTCCGAGCTTTGAAGCATTGCCTACCTCCCGCAAGGCTTGTGTAGTGTTGACTGCGCCTTTCAGGTTCATCTCGAAAAACGCCAAATGAGCTGCTCTCTCAAAAACACCTCTGGCTGTCAGCAGCCCTTTGGCATGAAGAATCTCCACATTTGCAATTTGGGCATGCAGCTCATGGATTTCCTTCTGGGACTTCAGCCTTTCCTCCGCCAACGCCAACTTCTTCTCTGACTCCGCCAACTTCTTCTCTGACTCCAGCCTTTCCTCCGCCAACTTCTTCTCTGACTCCAGCCTTTCCTCCGCCAGCCTTTCCTCCGCCAACGCCAACTTCTTCTCTGACTCCAGCCTTTCCTCCGCCAACGCCAACTTCTTCTCTGACTCCAGCCTTTCCTCCGCCAACGCCAACTTCTTCTCTGACTCCAGCCTTTCCTCCAAAAATCCCGCGATTGCCGCCTTTCGCTTGTCGGTGTCTCTGATTTGGTTTAGAATCTCAATGAGGTTTGTGGTGTTCTTCCGTGCGGAGGTTGTGACTTGTGTTGATACAACTCGCCGTTCTGTTCTCCACAAGATGAGATGGCAGAGGGCACAAAATTCAGCACGGAAATGGCTTCTCATTGACAAGGGGCTTCCAAAGGGCTTACA